TCGTTTGGGCCTCCTGGGTGCCTCTTGGGGGCCTCCTGTGGCCTCTTGGGGGCTCCTTGGGGCCTCCTGGGGCACTCTTCAAGCGGGAGGGTCGAATTTTGGAGTCGTGGTCCCCCTCTCGGGCGCATCTTGGGGCCGTCTTGGGGCTCTGTCGGGCTGTCTTGGGCGACTCTGGGGCCGTCTTGGAGCCCTCTTGGGCCGTCTTGGGGCGCTCTTGGGAGCCTATTGAGCCGTCCTGGAACGTCGGACAGCCGAAAAGGCTGGAAGGCCAAACTGGTTCGAAAACCTTCGTACAATTGACGATTTCGGCCTCTGGAAGCGCTCTGGAGAGGCGTCTTGACGCGTCGTGGAGTGCCTTGGGGGGCCTCTCGGGCCGTCTTGGGCCTATCTTGGGCGTCCTGGAGCGGTCTTTCGGAGACTCGGGGCCCGCTTGCGCCGTCTTGGGGGCCTCTGGAGGCCCTCCTGGACTATTTTGGACCTCCCTGGCCGCCCCGTCCTCCCATGGGAGGTCGGAGGCGGCGGCCTCCGAGGCCCATGACGCGGAAGCCCTGTAAAAACACGGGGAAAATGAGCCCCGGCCCCCCCATGGGGGGTCGGGGCACCTATCCTGGGGCCCCCGGCCTCGCCCCCAGGGATATATATATATATATATATATATATATATGTATATATATATATATATATATATATATATCTCTCTCTCTCCGGCCGCCTTCGCGTTGCCAGGGCGGCGGGCGCGCGCCAGGCCACGGCGCAACGCGGACAGGAGGAAGAGGAATCCACTCTGCGCTGGCGCCGCCGATGGACACCCTGGCTTGGAACAGAGCTCAGTAAATGAGCTTGAGCTCTCTCATTGCGGATTCGGCGGCATCAATATCCGCATCGGTCAGATCAGGGATCTTTTTGCTCGAACGGAGTGTGTTCAGCACTTTCGCTGCGAGTTGTTCTGGCGTCGGCCCAGCAGGCTTGATGAAGCCAAACTGGCGGGCCCCCACGTCTCGAACCTTCGCACCGATCAGGTTTGCCATTGCGAGCACCACGGACTTCACATGGGTAGCTGCGTACGCTTTGTCCCCGCGGTCTTCAAAGTCATCTCCGCAAATCAAGCCGCCATCTGCTACCTTGTCGTACCAAAACATCAAGTCCATCAGGCACCCTTTGAGAGTGTGATCCCCGTCGATGTACACGAAATCTAAGCTACAATCCGCCAACTTGCTGTGCATCTCTGCACTGGTCCCGCGGAGAACATGCATTTTGTCCCGACCCTGCTCGGTACTGAGGGTCCTTGACATTGCTGTGTTGAATATATATTCTCAAATTCGTCGTTCTCCTTGTTGAACGGCTTGTTCCAATCATCCAACTTCCGCCATGGATCGACGAGAAAGTACTCTTGGAGGCCTGGCATTTGCGTAAGCACATTCTGGGCAAACTCGCCCTTCCACACCCCAATCTCAGCCCCGCGGGTCAGGTTCAGACAAGTGAAAACTGAAGGCCACTGAAGACGATCTCTCAGCAATGAAACTTTTTTCAATAGTTTCCTCCTGTCGCTCCCGTTGGGGCAAACGGCAGCCGACTCGGGCAGCGGTGACCTCGCCGCTGGCCCGACAAGCGAGCCGGCGAAGGCGGCAGCTGTAGTGGGTGCCGCGGAGCCTGCGCCGAGACGCAAAGGTGAGCTGGACTCGGCGGACAGGATAAGCCCATAAGACAACAGGGCGGCGCTCAGCGCAAGGGCGAAGCCCAGCGCGCGCCTCATGCCCATGTGCGAGATGGCGCGGCGCTCGAGCCTTGAGCCAAAATGGCTACGGATCCCTGAGAACATGATTTGTTGGGGTGTCGTTGGGCGCCTCCGGAGGCTTCGGAACCTGACGCGTTTCCGAGCGTGACGGCAGGTAGCGCTGGTTGGGACTCTCGTGTTTTTTATCCTGGCGGGCGTTTAGGGAACACGGTTTGGGGAGAAGGCGGCAACCCGAGAATCATGTTCCTGGGAAGCTTTCCAGGAACATGATTTGCTCGGCTCTCCTAACAGGGGGGCCTCTTGGGGCTTACCGAGGGGCCCTTTTTGGCCTTGTCGGCAAGCCTATTGGAAACATGGTTGGGGCGGTGGACGGAAGCCCAAGGAATCATGTTCCCGGAAAGCTCTGGGAAATACGATTTACCGAAGTCTCTTGGGGGCCCGCAGGGGGCCTCCCTGGGGCCCCTTGGGAACTCATTGGGGCTTCCGGGGGGCCTCTTGGAAGCCTCACGGGGCTTCTTGGGAGCCTCTTGATGGCCTCCGGGGGCGTCCTAGGAGCCTCTCAGGCTGGAGACCTTGAAATGTCGCTCTTGGGGCTCTCTTGGGGCGCTCTCGAAGCCCTGTTGAATTATCTGGGGAGCCTCCTGGGCCGTCTCTGGTCTTTCTTGGGAGCCTCTTCGGCCGTCTTGGAGCGATCTGAACGGCTTCTGACGCCGTCCGGGACCGTGGGGAGGCGGAACATGCGATAGCGCAAAAATGCGGGGCCCTGTGGAGGGGCCTCTGGAGGCGTTCTTGGGGCGTTTTGGCGGCGTCGTCGGCCGTCCTGAGGCCATCTTCGGCGTGTCCAGGGCCTCTTGAGGCTGTCTTGGCAAGCTTTAGGGCCCTCTTGGCGTGTCGTGGCGCGTTTGGGAGCGGACCTGGGCAGTCCCGGGAGCGCTGGGGGCTGTTGAATGCTAGGTGTTGTCTTGGAGGCGGAGGCTGTTGAGTGCAGGGTGGCGCGTGCTACGCGGAAGGCGGGCGAGCGGCCAGGCGGGCGGCGGGCGGGCGGGTGGCGGGCGGGCGGGCGGGTCGGGATTTGAATGGATTCCTTAAGGGTGCTCTCTTGCAGCGGGAGCTTGTTGAGCACAGGGTGTTGCCTTGAAGACGGGGGCTGTTGACTACAGGGTGTTGTCTTGGAGACTGAAGCTGTTGAGTACAGAGTGGTGCGTGCTACGCGGACGGCGAACGGGCGGGCGGGTGCCCTAGGTGGTGGGTCAGAGGCCTCATGGTTGTTGGTTTGGACCTCGTGGTTGGCCTGTCGGGAACGTCGTGAAGGCAATTTTGCATCTTCTCGGTGACCGCTTTGGGGCCGTAGTGGGGCCTCCTCGGGGCTGCTTTGTGGCCTTTTGAAGCCTCGTTTGGGCCTCCTGGGTGCCTCTCGGGGGCCTCCTGGGGCCTCTTGGGAGCTCCTTGGGGCCTCCTGGGGCACTCTTCAAGCGGGAGGGTCGAATTTTGGATTCGTGGTCCCCTCTTGGGCGCATCTTGGGGCCGTCTTGGGGCTCTCATGGGCTGTCTTGGGCGCCTCTGGGGTCGTCTGGGGGCCCTCTTGGGCCGTCTTTGGGCGCTCTTGGGCGCCTATTGGGCCGTCTTGGAACGCCGGACAGCCGAAAAGGCTAAATCTCTCCAAAACCTTTGAAAAATTACCGATTTCGGCCACTTGAAGCGCTCTGGAGAGGCCGGAGCACTGGACCCAGGACCCCGGGAGGAGCCTCCGAAAGCCGAAGGGCGACAAGAACATCGGCGGGAGCGAGCCGAGAAGTCGAAGGGGCGAGCGCGGTCCCGAGGGGCGACCGCGGCGGGGACGGCGTCGACGACGACGACGCCGACGACGGCGACACCGCCGACGACGGAGAATTCTCTCTGGGATCCGAGGGCCTCTGCGCTGGCCCGGGGCGGGATGTGCCACCGCAGGAGGGCCACGGCGCGCATGGCGTCCAGGAGGCCGTTTTCTTGGACCGGCGGCGGCGGCGGTCCGAAGTGCGGCTCGTCCGCACCGTCCGTTGTGAGGTTCCTCGAGGCTGTTTGGGAGCCTCTTGAAGCCTCCTTTGGGCCTCCTGGGCTTATCTTGGGGGTCTCCTGGGGCCTCTTGGGGCCCCTTTGGGGCCTCCCGGGGCCCTGTGGAGGCGGGAGGCTCGAATTTCCGGTTTGCGGTTCCCCTCTTGGGGCCCTCTTGGTGCCGTCTTGGGCCTCTCTTCGCCCGTCTTGGGCGCGTCTTGGGCCGTCCTGGGGCCCTCCAGAGCCGTCTTGAGGCCCTCTTGGAGGCCTCTTGGGCTGTCTTGGGGCGTCCGCGGGGGGCCTGTGGGCCGTCGTGGAGCGTCGGAGAGCTGAAAAGGCGGGAAAGGCAAAATGTGTCCAAAACCTTCGTAAAATCAACGATTTTGGCCTCTTGGGGCCCTCTGGGGGGGCGGCCTCTTGGAGGCCTCTTGGAGCGTCTTGGGGGCCTCTTTGGCCGTCTTGGGCTTATCTTGGGGGTCTCCTGGGGCCTCTTGGGGCCCCTTTGGGGCCTCCCGGGGCCCTGTGGAGGCGGGAGGCTCGAATTTCCGGTTTGCGGTTCCCCTCTTGGGGCCCTCTTGGTGCCGTCTTGGGCCTCTCTTCGCCCGTCTTGGGCGCGTCTTGGGCCGTCTTGGGGCCCTCCAGAGCCGTCTTGAGGCCCTCTTGGAGGCCTCTTGGGCTGTCTTGGGGCGTCCGCGGGAGGCCTGTGAGCCGTCGTGGAGCGTCGGAGAGCTGAAAAGGCGGGAGAGGCAAAATGTGTCCAAAACTTTTGTAAAATGATCGATTTTGGCCTCTTGAGGCCCTCTGGGGGGACCTCTTGGAGGCCTCTTGGAGCGTCTTGGGAGCCTCTATTGGCCGTCTTGGGTTTATCTTGGGGGTCTCCTGGGGCCTCTTGGGGCCCCTTTGGGGCCTCCCGGGGCCCTGTGGAGGCGGGAGGCTCGAATTTTCGGTTCGCGGCTCCCCTCTTGGGGCCGTCTTGGTCCTCTCTTCGCCCGTCTTGGGCGCGTCTTGGGCCGTCTTGGGGCCCTCCAGAGCCGTCTTGAGGCCCTCTTGGAGGCCTCTTGGGCTGTCTTGAGGCGTCTGCGGGAGGCCTGTGAGCCGTCGTGGAGCGTCGGAAAGCTGAAAAGGCGGGAAAGGCAAAATGTGTCCAAAACTTCGTAAAAACCACGATTTTGGCCTCTGGGGGCTCTCTGGGGGGACCTCTTGGAGGCCTCTTGGAGCGTCTTGGGAGCCTCTTTGGCTGTCTTGGGCTTATCTTGGGCATCTTAGGGCCCTCTTGGCGCCCTCATGGGCGTCTTGGAGCCTGCTGGGCCTGTCGCGGAGCGCTCTTGGGGCACTCTTGGGCCGGACAAGGGCGCTCCCGGAGGCCCGATCCCGCCATGGGGGGCTGCCTCTCGGAGCGTCTTGGAGGCTTCTGGGACCTTCTTGGTGTCATGACAAGCGTCTTGGAAGGCATCTGGAGCCATCGGAGCGCGTTCCGAAGCCGCCTGCGAACGATCTTGGACGGCGTCCGGCGGTCCGACGAGCCAACGGGCCCCCCGGGGCCCACATTTGCGGTCGGGGTCCCGGCCCCGGGCCCCCGGACCCGGTGCGCCGTTATATGTATCATACTACTACTACTACTACTACTACTACTACTACTACTACTACTACTACTACTACTACTACTACTACTACTACTACTACTACTACTACTACTACCTACTACTACTACTACTACTACTACTATACTACTACTACTACTACTACTACTACTACTACTACTACTTACTACTACTACTACTAGTACTACTACTACTTACATTTATACTACTACTACTACTACTTTACTATACTACTACTACTTACTATACTACTACTACTACTACTACTACTACTACTACTAACATACTACTACCACTACTACTACCACTACTTTACATACTTCTACTACCAACCACTCAACCCCACCACCACACACCACACCACCACCACCACACCACCACCACCACCACCACCACTTTACATATACTACTACTACTACTACTTTACATACTACTACTACACTACTATATACTACTACTTTACTACTATATACTACTAGCTACTACTATACTACTCCTACTACCACTACCGCCTAATACTACTTACTAATCTACTACTAACTATCTACTACCTACTACTACTACTCACTACTACTACTACTACTGCTACTGCTACTACTACTACTACTACTACTACTACTACCGCTACTACTACTACTGCTACTACTACTACTACTACTACTACCAATACTACTACTACTACTACTACTACTACTACTACTACTACTACTACTACTACTACGTCTACGACTACTGCTACAACAAAACTTGTTACGACTGCGACTACTACTCCTACTCCTATTCCTACTAATACTCGGCGTCATACTTTTACATTATTCACAACAATAAGACGAATACGTATCACAAAACATCGCTCTACCGAGTTGGCCCCTGAACGGCCAGCACAAGGCAGCTTCACTCCCCGTTGGCACCTCTGCTGCCAATGAGGGCGCAGGCAGGAGGGAAGGCTGAGGATAAGGAGGGAAGGAGGGGGCACGTGGGGCGGGAGGAGGAGGAGGACAAGGAGGGAAGGAGGAGGAGAAGGAGGAGAAGGAGGAGGAGGAGGAGAAGAGATGTGGGGGGAGGGACGAGGGGGAGCAGGAGGAGGAGGGGGAGGAGGAGGATGATGATGAGGAGGAGGAGGAGAAGGAGGAGGAGGAGGAGGAGGAGGAGGAAAAGGAGGGAGAAGAGGACAAGGACAAGGAGGAGGAGGACAGGAGGGAAGGAGGAAGAGAAGGAGGAGAGAGGTGGAGGAGGAGAAGGAGGTGAGGGGGAGGGACGATGAGGGGGAGCAGGAGGAGGAGGGGGAGGAGGATGATGATGAGAGGAGGAGGAGGAGGGAGGAGAAGAGGAGGAGGAGGAGGAGGGGGGAAGGGGGGGAGGGGGAGGAGAGGAGGAAGAGGAGGAGGAGGAGGCGGAGGAGGAGGAATGAGGAGGAGGAGGAGGAGGAGAAAGAGAAAGAGAAAGAGGATGAGGATGAGGATGAGGAGAAAGAGGAGGAGGAGGAGGAAGAAAAAAGGACGAGGGGGGGGAGGAGGAGAAGGAGGAGGAGAAGGAGGAGGAGGAGGAGGAGGAGGAGGAGGGGGAGGAGGAGGAGAAGGGCTGCTGCAGGGGGCGCGCTGGAGTTGACAGTGCGACAGCAGGGCCTCGCCGTAGCGCGGCCGTGCTGGCGGGGGGCCCATGGCCAGCGCAGCCGCCGGCTGCAGCAGGCCCTGCGGCTGCTCGGCGCTCTCTGGGGTCTGCGGCGCCAGGCGCCCTCGCGCTGTGAAAAAATCGCGAGGAGGGGGAGGGGGAGAAAGAGCGAGGAGGCGGGGAGGGACATGGGCAAGGGGAGGCGGATGAGGATTAATTTCGTGGGTTGTGGTTTTCTGCCACGTTTTCCTGCGACACCCTGTGCGGTGGCCCACCTGGTACTCCGCCAGGGTTCGGGCGGTGTCGCGGGTCCCCTGTGCGGGGGGGACTCATTGGAGGATCCCCGCCCATTCCGCCCACGGTCACGGTCCCCCGCCGTGGCGTGCGTGGGGGCGGGTTGTCCCCGAGGGCGTGGTGCCCTTCGGGTGGCTCACTGGGGCGGCACGACTGAGAGGGGTCTGCGGCGCCAGGCCGAGGCTGCAGAGCCAGGCGCCCTCGCGCTGTGCAAAAATCGCGACGGGAGGTTTTCGCTATTTTGAAATCGGGCCCGTCCTCCTACAGGGGGATTTTCGACGAAACATAAAAACAATAATACCCCCCCCCTGATCAAACATAGTCAAAAAATAATCCCCATGATATTTTTGGACCATTTTTGAACATTCCCCCTGTAGAGGGACAGGCCCGACTTAACGCTATTTTCGGCCTCCGGGGGCCCGTACTGGGCCTCGGCGCCGTCGAAAAACAACCCAGGATGAAAATCCAGTCCCGGGGAATGGGTCCAGGCCTCTGGGGCCGCGCAGTGGAAAAATCATGACGTCGGGGGTCTGGGGCGCAAGGCGGCCGCTCGAGACTGCTCCTCTGCCATGGCCTCGCACGACCGCGTCGGCAAGGAAATGCTCGTCTTGCAGCCCCACTCCACCCACGCGCCGGCTCTTCGCGAGGGGGAGGAGGGGGAGGAGGAGGAGGAGAAGGAGGAGGAGGAGGAGGAGGAGGAGGAGGAGGAGGAGGAGGAGGAGGAGGAGGAGGAGGAGGAGGAGGCAGTGGAGGAGAGGAGGAGGGGAGGAGGAGAGGAGGAGGAGGAGGAGGAGGAGGAGGAGGAGGAGGAGGAAACATAGTCCCCAGACTATTTTTGCACTATGTACTTTTGGATTATTTTGGGGGTATTTCTTACTTTTCGCCGAAAATCCCCCTGTAGGGGGACAGGCCCGACTTGAGGCAAGCAGGGTGCTCCTTGGCAGGGGCCTCCATCCGGGACGAGCCGAAGCGCCGGGCCATCGGCCGCAAATTCTCCCACCAGGCCCATCGTGCCCAAGCCGCTCCTCCTTCTCCTCCTCCTCCTCCTAACCTCCTCCTCCTCCTCCTCCTCCCTCCTCCTCCTCCCCCTCCTCCCTCCTCTTCTCTTCCTCCTCCTCCCTCTTCCTCCTCCTCCTCCTCCTCCTACTCCTCCTCTCCCTCCTCCCCCTACCTCCTCCTCTCTCTCCTCCTTCCTCCTCCTCCACCACATCCCCCTCTCCTCCTCCTCCCCCCCCTCCTCCTCCCCTCCTCCTCCTCTCCTCCTCCTCCTCCTTCCTCCTCCTCCTCCTCCTCCCTCCTCTCCCCTCCTCCTCCCCTCCTCCTCCTCCTCCTCCTCCGGCCGAAAGGTTGCGACGCGCGTCTGCCGCACCACCCGAGGCCGCGGGCGCGGCGGCAGCAGGCGCAGGAGCGGGCGGCGCCGGCGGCGGGGGCGCCTGAGGGGGCTGGCGGCGCTGCTGCGGCCGCTGGCGGGACCTCTGGCGCCGCGCAGCGCCGGCAAACGCACGCTGCGCCGGGTGCGCACCACTGCAGGCAGCCGCCTGCTCCAGCGCCACCGCACTGGTAGCAGCGTTCGCCATGTCCGCCATGCTCCGGCCTGGCTGTGCCGGTGCTGCCGCCGCAGCCCGCGCAGCGAGGGCCGGGGTGCTGCGCCCCCCCGACGCGGACGCTGGCCCATCCGCGCTGCCATGCGCTGGGCCGCCATGGCGAAGGTCGAGCCCGGGGCCGCTGCCAAATCCCCGCTAAATCCCCGTCCCCCATCGCACCATCGCGCTAAATCCCCGCTAAATCCCCCCTAAATCGCACCATCGCGCTAAATCCCATCGCACCATCGCACCCCCCGCTAAATCCCCGCTAAGTCCTCGCACCATCGCGCCAAATCCCCGTCCCCCAGCGGCTGCGCCACTCTTAGCTCATCTCGTCGAAGAGCTCGACGAGGTGTTCTTGACCGACCAGAATTATGCAAAACTTCCGTCGGGATGCTTTGCCAACTAGCCCCCCAGCTCGCCGGAATTACTCTCAAGCACTGCCGCTTCGCTCTCAGGGAAGCTCTACGAGTCACTAGCCCCCAGCCGAGGCGGCACTTGCTGGACGGCTTCCGGCTCCAGGGCTGCCAGGGGCGCCGCGGCGTGCGAAGCGCCTGGTGCTGGCGGGGGCCCCACCAGAGGCGCGACGGGAGCCCCGGGGCGGCGCCGCGCCGCAGCCATCGTCACCTCCCGCCTCTCTTGGGGCCTCCTGGATGGGGTCCGAGTAGATGTGGTCGAAGGATCGCGCCGCATCGGCGATGCATCAGCGATGCATCGGCGATGCGTCGCCGATGCATCGGCGACGTCGGCGTGGGGAAGCACGGTCCCCACATCGAGCCGCATCGATGATGCATCGACGATGCGGCGCGATCCTCTGACCCCATCTACTCCGACCCCATCTAGGAGGCCGAGACTACTCCAGATTTCGTAATAAAGGGAGGGGGGTCTCATGTCGGGGGGGGTCTCTTCCAGGCTGTCTTGGAGGGCCTGGGGGGGTCTGGGGACGATGTTTTGGAGGGTTCTCCCACGGGGGGGGGGGGGGTCTGAAATGGCTCGTCTTGGAGGGTCCAGACCCCCTCCCTTTTATTACGAAATCTGGGGTATCCTGGCCGACTCGTCCGTGAGGTCGGGGCTCCGAGTCGGCCGGGGGTCCTGGGCGAGGCCCTGCGGTGTTCGTCGAGGCGCCTGCTGCCGGCGCGGGCTTTGCCGGGGGCGCGGCGGCCGCCGCCCCCCCCCCACACACCACTTGGACGCCCGAGTTATCCGGGGTAACTCGGGTCCGGGGTAACTCGGGCTTGGGTTCCCGAAAAACGAACCCGAGTCAGCCCTGACCCGAGTTACCCCTGATGATTCTGGGGCTCTGGACGCCCGAAATATCCGGGGTAACTCGGGTCCGGGATAACTCGGGTTCGGACTCCCGAAAAACGAACCCGAGTTAGCCCTGACCCGAGCTACCCCTGATGATTCGGGGCTCTGAACCACCTTCCCGGGAGAGGGCGCCGCTCCGCGAGGCCTCCCGATTTGGACACCCGAAGTGGGTACCGAAAGAATGGGCACAATGCCCAACAACAAACGTTGTCCCAGAGCAACAGCGGCCGCTGTTGGGCAGGCGACCTCCTGTCTCGAATGGACACAGGCCGCGGCGGCGTGGACAGCGAGTCCTGTTCAAAATGAACAGGAACTGCTGCTGGGCATCGTACCCATTCTTTCAGTACCCATTTCGGGCGTGCAAGCCCGAGCGCTTCCACCACCAGCCATACACGCATTGCCGGCGGCGCGGTGCTCGCGGTGCTCGCCGCACTGGTCGAACGCGTCGTCGTGCTGCACGGCCACGTGCCCGTCGTCGCGCTCCCCGGTGTCGCCGTGCAGCTCGTAGTCGTCGTCGCGCTGCTGACGGCGGCGCGAGGTCGGGAGCCTCCCGACGACGGGTTCGCCGCGGCGGGCGGCGCCTCGATGTCGTCGAGCGCCCTGGGGCCGGCATGGGAGCCAGCCTCGGGGCCATGCCCGGAGCCAGCATCGGAAGCGGCACCGTCGCCTGCAGCGCGTGGGGCAAGAATCAACGAAAAGGGACCGTCTTGCTTCGCCGGCCTCCCGCACCGGGACCGCTGCAGCCGCCGGCCCGCGGCGAGGGCCCCAGCCTCGCCCTCGTCCTCGAGGTCGGTCAGCTCGTCCATCAGCTCCTCCTCCTCGCTCACGTTTCTCTCCTCTTCTTTTTGTGGATGCCATGGCAATGGGCACTTGAACAAGCCTATCATTGAGTTAACAACGCCTCAAGTGTTAAAACTGATGTAAGAAAATATGTGAACATGTTCTCCATGTTTAGAACTTGGCCGAACTCTGTCTTAGACATCTGGAAACTATTTGGCAGCACGCTTCCCCTCCATTGATCCACTTCCACAACTCCTCCTCCTCCTCCTCCTCCTCCTCCTCCTCCTCCTCCTCCTCCTCCTCCAGCGCAGGGCCCCCGGGGACCTGGGCGCGCCGCCCCTGCGTGGTCGCCAGGCGGCGCGCCGCACGTGGCGCCGAAGCGCGGTGCACGCCGGCGGCCGCGCTGGCCAAGAGCGGAGCGGCACGGCCGTCGCGCCCTGTTGCCGCGCGCTGGCGGCACTCGGGGGCTGCTGGGCCGCGCCCCCAGCCGCGTTCGGGGCGCGAGGGACGGGCGTGCTGCGTCACGCCCGCGCAGCAGGCGCGGGAGGTGTCGTTCGGTAGGCTGTTGCAGCCCCTGCAATGCCACTGCGGGCCCCGGGTCGTGGCGTTGCCCTCCGGCTGTTCGCCTCCGCCGCGTCCACGCTGGCGGGACAGCGACTTTAGCAGCTCCGTTGCCAAAGAGACCTGCCCGGAAGCGCCGTCGCCGCCACGTCCCTGGACGTCGCTGCACAATTCACCATTCCATCTTCCTTCCGCCGGCCTCCGCGGGAAGAGTCCAAATGGCACCCAAAATCAACAATATAACAATAATCAGCCGTACATCCCGCTCAGAGCGGTCGGGGGTCGCCACCGTGTGAAGTGAGGCACCCAGCAGAGCCGCCGCTGGGAGTAGAAAAGCAGCGGCCTCGGCTGCGCGGAGCTATCGCGAGGCCAAAATAGATATGAGAAAGGGGCGTACTTACCAGCTGGCCGGCCGACTTGAGCTTCCCTCATCTTCACTCTCCCCCTCCCCTCCCCTCCCCCTGGTCTTGTTATCATCACTGCTCCACCTCATTATGACCCCTCCTCACCCTATTCCCCCTCGCCCTCCCCCACCACCTACTCCTGCTCCTACTCCTCCCCTCTCACTCTGCCTCCAATCCCTCCTCCCCCTCCTTCCCGCTCCTGACCTCCCCGTCCTCATCCTCCGACTTTCCCCCTCCTCCCCATCCTTCTTCTCCTCCTCCTCCTCCTCTTCCTCCTCCTCCTACTCCTCCTCCTCCACATCCTCCTCCACATCCTCCTCCATTTTCTACCGCTTGTCCTCCTCAATTTCCTCCTCCTCCGCCTGCGCCTCCTCCTCCTCCTCCTCCTCCCTCCTCCTCTCCTCCTCCTCCTCCCTCCTCCTCATCTCCTCTATTCCTCATCGGCATCACTATCAATATTACCACAATGAACATCACCAGCGCCATCACCAGTACCCTCCTCCTCCTCCTCCTCCTCATCATCATCATCATCACCATCACCTCCATTACCACCACCACCACCACCATCACCATCACCATCATCATCTTCAGCAACATCATCATCACCACCACAACCTCCATCATGACAATCATCATCCTCATTAGCATAGTCAGCATCATCATAATGATCATCATCAATATCACCATCAGCGTCACAATCATCCTCCTCATCCTCATCCTCAATCTCATTCTGATCACCACATCATCACCATCACCACCATTATCATCATTATTGCCATCGCCATCATCATCATCCTCACCCTCATTATCATCCTCATCCTCATACTCACTCTCATCCTCATCACCAGATCATCATCACCACCAGCATCATAATCGTCATCATCATCATCATCATTGAAATCATCGTCAGCATCACCACGACCATCATCATCCTCATACTCATCCAAATCTTCATCCTCATCACCGCGTCATCATCACCATCACCATCACCATCATCGTCGTCATCAAAACCACCAGCATCATCATCATCATCGTCATCATCATCATCATCACCACTATCATCAGCATCAGCATCATCATCCTGAGTCTCACCATCATCATCATCATCATCACCATCATCATCATCACCAGCATGATTATCATTATGCTCATCCTCATCATCATCCTCACCACCACCATCATCCTCACAACCACCATCATCATCACCATCACTATCATCATCATCATCATCATCATCATCATCATCATCATCATCCTCATTCTCATCCTCATCACTACCACCATCATCATGATGACCTCCATCATCATCATCATCATCATCATCATCATCATCATCATCATCATCATCATCATCATTATCGTCATCATCATCATCATCATCATAGTTATCACCACCATCATCATCATCATCATCATCATCATCATCATCATCATCATCATCATTATCGTCATCATCATCAGCATAATCAGCAACATTACCATCCTTATCCTCATCCTCATCACCACATCATCAGCATCATCACCATCATGATCACCACCATCATCATCCTCATCCTCAACATCATCCTCATCATCATCCTTACCACCACATCATAATCGTCCCCCATCATCATAACCATCGTCACCATTGTCATCATCCTAATCATCAGCATCGCCATCATCATCATCATCATCATCATCATCATCATAGTTATCATCACCAGCATCATTACCAGCATCGTCACCATAACAATCATCAAAACCATCATCATAACCATCGCCATCCTCATCATCATGCTCATCCTCATCCTCATCCTCATCCTCTCACCCATCACCACGTCATCATCCTCATCCTCGTCATCATCGTCATCACCATCATCATACACATCCTCATCCTCATCCACATCTCGACAGTCATCGCCACATAATCATCACCACCACCATCATAACCATCATCAGCATCATCATCATCACCGTCATCATCCTCATCGTCATCGTCATCCTGATCCTCATCTTCACCCTCATCACCACGTCATCACCACCACCACCATCATCATCAGCAGTACCGTCGCCATCATGATCACCATCACCATTACAATCATCACCATCAGCATCATGATCACCATCATGTTCATCACCATTGCCATCATGATCACCATCATCATCTTCATCAGCATCATCACCATCACCATCATCATCAACATCATCATTACCATCACCATCACCAGCATCATCCTCATCCCCACCCTCATCCTCATCCTCATCCCCATCACCAAGTCGGCATCACCACCACCATCATCATCATCAACATCATCGTCGTCATCATCATCCGGGTCGCCACCACCACCATCATGATCATACTCATGCCTATCCTCATCCTCATCCTCATCCCCATCCCCACATCATCAACACCATCACCATCATCACCCCCATCCCCATCACAGCGTCATCATCACCACCACCACCACTATCATCATTATCATCATCAGCATCATGAGCACCATTAACTATCATCATCAGCATCGCCATCTTCATCATCATCACCACCAGCATCCTCATCATCAATGTCATCACAGTCATTATCATCACCACCATCACTATCATCAGCATCACCATCATCGTCATCATTTCCTGGTACTCTTCAACATCACTATCATCATGATCATCATCATAATAATCATCTTCATTATCATCACCATAAATCGTCCTCATCCCCATCCTCATCCTCATCACCACATCATCGTCACATCCATTATCAGCACCATCATCGTCATCAGCATCATCATCATCCTCATCCTCATCCTCGTCCTCATCACCACCTCATCATAACCACAACCATCATCAACGTCACCACCATTTTCATCCTCGTCTTCATCTTTATCCTCGTCTTCCTCCGCGTCACCACGTCATCATCATCACCAACACCATCGCCAACTCCATCATCATCGTCATCATCATCATCAACATCATCCTCATCCTCATCCTCATCGCCATCATCATCATCACCATCATCATGATCATCCGCATCCTTATCATCACCATCATCATCATCATCAACAACATCACCATCACCATCACCATCATCATCATCATCATCATCATCACCATCATCATCTTCAGCATCCTCATCCTCATCAGGACCACCATCATCACCACCACCAGCATCATCACCACCATCACCACCACCATCACCATCATCATCATCATCATCATCATCATTATCATCATCTTCATCCCCATCCTCATCACCACATCATGATTTTCACCACAACTGTCATCATAATCAGCATCATTATCATCATCGTCATCATCGTCCTCATCCACATCACCACATCAGCATCACCACCACTATCATCATCATCATCGTCACCCACCGCTATCACCATCACCACCATAATCAGCATCATCACCATCACCATCATCATTATCAGAATCGTCATCATCATCGCACCATCATCATCACCATAATCATCTCCAGCACCACCACCACCATCATCATAATCATCATCATCGTCGTCATCATCATCATCACCATCACCATCACCGTAATCATCACCATCATCCTCGTCGCCATCACCATCACCACCACCATCACCATCACCATCACCATCACCATCACCATCACGACCATCATCATCGTCGCCGCCGCCGCCGCCACCAACAACAGCATCAGTGTCACTGCCCCTCCGCTCCCCTCCCCTCCCTCCCTCCCTCCCTGCCCCTCCCTGCCCCTCCCTCCCCTCCCTCCCTCCCTCTCCCCTCCCTCCCCTCCCTCCCTCCCTCCCTCTCCCCTCCCTCCCCTCCCTCCCTCCCTCAGTGTGTGCCCGGCTCCCCGCCCGGGCTCGCGCCAGAAGGCCGGGGGCCGCGCCGTCCGGCCGCTCCGGCACGAGGCTGCCGGCGGCCGCGCCGCGCTCGCCGGGTCCGCCGGCGCCGTCGCCGCTCCTCGGAGCCGTCGCCGCTCGGGGGGCGAGGTCCTCGTCCTCATCGTGGTCGTCCTCTTCCTCCTCCTCCTCCTCCTCCTCCTCCTCCTCCTCCTCCTCAACCTCCTCCCCCTGCTCCTCCTCCTCCTGCTCCTCCTCCTCCTCCTCCTCCTCCTCCTCCTCCTCCTCCTCCTCCTCCTCCTCCTCGTAGAGGTCGCAACCCAGACACGATCGCGTCGTAGGAGCGGCTATACGCAAGGGTGACCCTGGGCAAGAGTGACCTCTGGTGCGCGGCTTTTGGGGGGCCGCGGGGGGACCAAGCCTGGGCACGCAAGCCGTTGCTCCTGCTCCGTTTTCAGCTCTCTGGGGGCCCATCTGTGCCCGCACCAGAGGTCACCGCAGGAGGGGAAACCGGTCCCGGGGGAAGCGTCGGGACTTCCAGGGACCCCGTATCGAAAAAATCAGCTCCGATTCGGTCGGCGCCGGCCCCCATGTCGCAGTCGGCTGCGCCCTTGCATGCGGCGGTGCGGCGCCCTTCCTAGGCGGCAGGTTTGTTCGCGAGGGCCCGGCGCGCTGGCCTCGCGCTGATTCTCGCCGGGAGGAGGAGGAGGAGGAGGAGGAGGAGGAGGAGGAGGAGGAGGAGGAGGAGGGGGAGGAGGAGGAGGAGGAGGAGGAGAGGGCGGGGCGCGCAATCGCAGTGGCGTTGTGGGCGCGGCCGCGGTGTCCGTCGCGCTTTTGAAGGCAGGGCCCGGGGGCCGCCCTGCTCTCTCCCTGCGTGAGGCCCCCCCGGGCTTGCTCCGTCGCGACGGCCCCTGTAACCAGCCTCGAACGTATCCCTGTCCCTGAGATGGGCGAGCAAGAAGCGAGGGCAATCTCAGGGATGGGCCCTCAGAAACCGAGGGAACCCTCAAGATCGGCATCGAGGCGAGGTGATGTCAAACATAGGGATAGGGATATGTTTCAAACTGGTAACCCTGGTGAGGTGATCATGGCGGGCGGTCATTGCGGGGAATCGGCCATGGCAGGGGCGCGTGCCTCCATCTTGGCGATGGCCCATGGGATAGTGGACCCGCGGACGTGGGCCGCCGCGTTCAGAGGAGGGGCTGGCCGCCTGGGCGATGGCGAAGTCACCCCCGGTCGCCCTGTCCCAGCCAGTGCCTTGGACTTGACAGTGCCACCTGATGGATGCGAGGACCCAAGCGATCTGCATCATGGTGGCGCTCTGTGGTTCGATGCCCGTGATACGGTGCTCTGCGGTGGCAAGAGCAGCGCGAATTCTGGAGAGTTTCAGGGCGCTTCCTGACTACCTACCAAACCACCCCAACCCAACCCGAAGACCCGAATTTCGGGTTGGGGGGGGTACGAGCTTCATGTGTGTTTTCTCCACGTTCCCCGACCCCCCCCACTGGAAATGGAGGGCAAATTGGGGCCTTCGGGTTGGGTTGGGGTGGTTTGGTGGGCGGTGACTTCCTGGGCGTCTGCCGTGACTATGATGCTCACTGTTTTGCCCGCGCTGACAGCGCCGACAGCTCTGTGCTCGGCGGGGGCGTCGCGCGCTTCCTGGAGCGCGGCCTGGCGACCCTCGGGGCGCCGCGCGGTGGTGTGGTCGCTGGGCGGGGGCCCTGCAGAGCCGCGATGGCTGGGGCCAAGCCAGGCGCCTCCTCGCCCCGAGGCGGGGAGAACCAGAGGGACATCAACTACAGTCGGGGCCTTGACCTAAGGAACCCTGAATGAGGAACGAGGCCCCTGTTTTCCATAAGTGGAACTTCGATTTCGTATCGGAAACCTAGGGAAATCCAAGGCAAGCTGCGAAACAATCAAGGAACACGGAGCCCCTCCCCAACGAAAAGGGTTCCTTCTTCAGGGCCCCGACTGTAGCTCAATCACGAAGGTCGCCGCGAAACTGCGTTTCACCATAGCTGTGCCCTGGCGTCCTAGGGGCTGCATGTATTCCTGCACTTGCGCGGTGCGGAGGTGGCACGTGAACGCGGCCGTGAACGCGTCAGTGAGGCCGTCGTCCAGCTGTTTGCGTGAAGCGTCCTTCTTGGTCGATGTGTGGCGTTCTTTCGCCTTCTGCTGCGCCGAACCTGGTCCACCTGGGTTGCGGTTGCCGTTTACAAGTGCATCGCCTGAGCATTGTGCCGTGAACAGCTCCTCGGATGCAGGCGTGACCGCGATGGCGTCAGCCTCACAGATGGCAGAGCGGATCCAGACCACGTTGTCAGCTGGGTCGAGAGCAACTTGGACGACGTTTTGAAGGCACTTGACATCCTCCAGTCCGATTTTGGTAGATGGCCCCTTGGATGTGTCTAGCATTGGCCGTGCGACGGAGCACTGTGACTATACTTTTTTGCCTGAGTAGTCCGTGTTGATGGGCCTCCGCGCTGCGAGCGCTAAAGGTTTGTCCTGAGTGCGGATCTGCTGTAGCAGGCGGTCGCCTTCCTCAAGCGTGTGGGGCGAGATGCGACTGGTGTAAGACGTCCCGTCGCCCTCCCTTTCGAGCGCGGTGGTAACGAGGACGTCCCATTTGTGAGCGTCGAAGCTGGTGAGAGGGGCTATGCCGTTGCCCTGCAGGGCTTCGGCATCGACCGTGGTCCCTGCTGGTGCTGGGTCGTGGTCTGATGCCTTTTTGCGCGTGAGGGAGTAGCGCAGCATGGCGTATCGGAGATCTTCTGACCCGGGTCAATCCAGACCCGGGTCAGCAGGAAAACAAAAACTGCATAGCAGGAACAAAAAACTGCAACGCAGGGCTTCGCAAACCAAGGTCAGCCAACATGCGCGGCCGCCTCACGGCCACAAGCGGCTCGCTAACCCGGGTCAGCCAGAGGGGGTCTTCGCAGGATCTTGCAGGATCCAGTGCCCTGGCTGACCCCCGTTTGCATTGACCCCCGTCTCAAGGCTCCCGAGCGTAGTTGACTTTGTTCTCCCCGCACATTCTCATCAGCTCGCCCCTAAGCCTGCGTGGGTCGGGGCGGTATTGCTCGTGCGTGGCATCGAGGTCGGCAGGGCGCTTGCTTGTGAGCGAGCTTTTTGTGTGCGGCGACTGCGCTGTCGACGCCGCCGCTGACTTGGAATGCGGCGACGCAGGCTTCCCTTCGAGCGAGGCTGCCCTCGGGTACTTTTAAGTCGGGCGTGTCCCCCTACAGGGGCATTATCAACGAAAAACAACATAGTCAAAACATACCCCAAAATGGTAAAACAAATGCTCAAAAAATAATCCCCAGGCTATTCATTCAAATAAATCCTAAAGATGCTTTGTGGGTTTGCGTGGGCCCCCGGTCCCCGGAGCCCTCAGAGAACCCCGAAACGGCTCCGGAGGGCCCCAGAAGGGCCCGAAACGGCACCGGAGCTCCCCAGAAGAGCCCCGAGAGGGGCCCATGGAGACCCCGAGACGACCCAAGACGGCTTTCAGGCGGTCCAAGATGTTCTCAAGACGGCCCCATGCGCCCCAAAGACGCCCCCGGACGGTTCCAGGCGGGTCCAAGGTGTCCCCCGAAAGGGCTCCATCAAGCAAAAATCGTCACATTCCCCTTGGAAGATGAACATTTTCAGCAGATTCGGCTTATTGGTCTTCGAAGCGTCCAAAACGGCCCCAGAGGCCTCCAAGATCGCCCAAGACGGCCCCCAAGAGGGCCCAAAGATGGCTCCAGACGGGCCCAGGACGGCCCAAGAGGCGCCCAAGACCACCCAAGAGGACCCCACGAGAGGCCCAAGAGGGGCCCAGGACAGCCCCGAGACGGCCTACGGAGGCCCCGAGACCACCTCAGGCGGCCCAAGATGCTCTCCAGACAGCCCCATGAGCCCCAAAGACGCCCCAGGACGGTTCCAGGCGGGTCCAAAGGGTTCCCCCGATAGGGTTCCTTCTAGCGAAAGTCGTTACATTCCCTTCGGCAAATTGACATTTTCAGCAGATTCGGCTTATGCTTTTCGAAGCGTCCACAACGGCCCCAGAGGCTTCCAAGATCGCCCAAGACGGCCCCCAAGAGGGCCCAAAGATGGCTCCAGACGGGCCCAGGACGGCCCAAGAGGCGCCCAAGACCACCCAAGAGGATGGCCCAAGACGGCCCCAAGACGGCCCACGAGGCGCCCTGCCGGCCCAAGAGGGCTCCGAGAAGCCCCCGAGGAGCCCAAAACAGCCCCCATAGAGCTCCCATTCGGCCCCCAAGAAGCTTCAAAATTGCTTCCAACAGAGGGGGGCTGACGAGAGGCGAGAGGCCCCTCGCAGGCGCAAAAAACAAATGTTTTGACGCTCCGGTGGCCCTGGGGCTGCCCCGCTGCGCTCCCTACTTTGCCGCGACGCCGTTCCGACGCGTCCGACGCGGCCCGAGACGGCGCCGCGTTTGCCCGAACCCGCTCCCGCGTCCGCCGCGATCCCGGCGCGAATCTTCCAACGTTGCTCAGGCCTGGACTCCTGAATTCCTGCCTTTTGCGAAGCTCGAACACTTCGGCCCCCGTTTCGATGCATTGGGCGCCTTCGGTGGGGAAACAGCACTAGAACAAGCTGCAAGGGATCTACGGCAGTAGCTGGCAGCGTCGCACCACCAAGCGCGCGCCACCATGCTTCGATCCGCCCAACCCTGCGGATTTCATCCACGGGTCCACACTACTTTTGCTTAAAAGACAAAAAGAAATAACATGATATTTTTGAATATTCCTCCTGTAGAGGGACAGGCCCGACTTAAAGGTATTTCCCAACCAACCTGTGTTGTTGGGTCCTCGTTTTGAAGAGACGGTCCCCGCGTTCTCCTCCTCCTCCTCCTCCTCCTCCTCCTCCTCCTCCTCCTCCACCTCCTCCTCCCTCCTCCCCCTCTTCCTGTAGAGGGACAGGCCCGACTTACAGGTATTTTGGGGGGGGGCGGGCCTTGCCCGGTGGTGCCAGTTGCCGTGGCGCAAAGGGGGGCGCACGGCGAGGGCCCGTCGGAGCCACGGCGCGCGCGCGCCGAAAGGGGGGATGCGGCGCCCAGCTGTCACGGCCTGGGATGGGCCGTGTCTGTTCTCGCGAGGCAAGAATGGATTCAAGGGCCCTGGGACACACACAAATAAACACACACACACAAATAAACACAAACACACAAACAAACAAATAACAGGATTCCCCCTATTTTCTGAGTCCACTCGGACGTCCACTCCCTGTGCGTTTTTCGGTTTCGTGCGTGTTCTTGCTTGCTCGATGATCCAGGATGTTCCTCCAGGGTCCTCGCCGAGAAAAAAATGCACACGTCCGAGCGATGCCAGGGGGGATGGGCCGCGTCTGTTCTCGCGAGGCAAGAGTGGATTCAAGGGGCCCTGGGACACACACAAATAAGCACACACACAAATAACAGGATTCCCCATCTTTTCTCTGATACTTTCTGGGTTTTCGTCTTCCCCCCCCCCACATCCCAAAGTTTCCCAGATTTTCTGGGGAATCGACGATTGATTGTGTTTGTGTGCTTTCCCAACCATCCTGTGGTGCTGGGTCCTCGCTTTGAAGAGACGTCGCCCCGCGTTGTTTCTTTCCTCCTTTCCTCCTCCTCCTCCTCCTCCTCCTCCTCCTCCTCCTCCTCTTCCTCCTCCTCCTCCTCCAACTCCTCATCCCTTCCCTCCTGTTTCTTCCATGCGTTTCACCCACGAAACACAGCGCTTCGTGGCCCCATAGGGAGCTCCACCGAAACCCCCACTGGGACCGCCCGCATGCGTCCGCCACCAACCAGCACAGCCCTGGCTCCCTGCGTTTCACCCACCCAGTACAGCGTTTCGTGGCCACATAGGGAGCTCCACCGAAAGTCCCAGTGGCACCGCCCGCATGCGTCCGCCAACACCCAACACGCCCCTTGCTCCCTGCGTTTCGCCCACCCAGTACAGCGTTTCGTGGCCACATAGGGGGCTCCACGGAAGGTCCCAGTGGCACCGCCCGCATGCGTCCGCCACCCCAGCACAGCGCATTCGTGGCCCCATAGGGAGCTCCACCGGCCGCCCGCATGCGTCCGCCACCAACCAGCACAGCCCTGGCTCCCTGCGTTTCACCCACCCAGTACAGCGTTTCGTGGCCACATAGGGAGCTCCACCGAAAGTCCCAGTGGCACCGCCCGCATGCGTCCGCCAACACCCAACACGCCCCTTGCTCCCTGCGTTTCGCCCACCCAGTACAGCGTTTCGTGGCCACATAGGGGGCTCCACGGAAGGTCCCAGTGGCACCGCCCGCATGCGTCCGCCACCACCCAGCACAGCCTTTGCTCCCTGCGCTTCACCCACCCATTACAGCGGTTCGTGGCCCCATACGGAGCTCCACCGAAGGTCCCAGTGGCACCGCCCGCATGCGTCCGCCACCAACCAGCACAGCCCTGGCTCCCAGCGTTTCGCCCACCCAGTACGGCGTTTCGTGGCCACATAGGGAGCTCCACCGAAAGTCCCAGTGGCACCGCCCGCATGCGTCCGCCACCACCCAGCACAGCCATTGCTCCCTGCGTTTCACCAATCCAATAGAGCGCTTCGTGGCCACATAAGGGGGCTCCACCGAAAACCCAGTGGCACCGCCCGCATGCGTCCGCCACCACCCAGCACAGCCCTTGCTTCCTGCGTTTCGCCCACCCAGTGCCGCCCGCATGCGTCCGCCACCACCCAGCACAGCCCTTGCTCCCTGCGTTTCGCCCACCCAGTACAGCGTTTCGTGGCCACATGCGGAGCTCCACGGAAGGTCCCAGTGGCACCGCCCGCATGCGTCCGCCACCACCCAACACGGCCCTGGCTCCCTGCGTCTCACCCACTACAGCGCTTCGTGGCCCCATAGGGAGCGCCACCGAGGAATTTATTCATAATTGCGGTACCCACAACTGCATATGGTTGGGTTTTTCGCAAAGCTAATTTCCTCCTGATGGATGCGGGGCGCTTGACGTCTGGGCTCGCTCTGAGCAGACCTCTCGAGCCGACTGGGGCGGGGGGAGGAGACAGGGGGCGACTGTGGTGAGTGGGGAAGAGGGGGGAGGGGGGTGAAAGCAGGGGAAGGGGGACGCAGGAGTGAGACGGGGGGACGGTGAAGGAGATGGAGGGGGGAAGGGGGTGAAGGGAGGAGGTTAAGTGAAGGGGGGGGAGACAAGGGGCGAAGGGGGGCGGGAGGGCTGAATTGCACTCCAGTCAGATGGGTTGTTCCCTGGTTTTGCGGAGTATCCACCACGACGACGACGCCGAGTGCTGCGACGATGACGAGGACGACGGCGACGACGGCGACGACGGCAACGACGGCGACGGCGACGACGACGACGACGACGACGAGCAGCGGCAACGGCAGCGGCCGCAGCAGCACGCGCCCAAGCCGGAGCCTGCGCCCGTTCCAGCGGCCGATGCAGGCCAGCGCCGTCTCCGGCGCCAGGCAAGGGACCAGGAATAGCGCCACCGAGTGGCCACCGAGTAGGTCGCCGGAGGTCCTCTCTGGCAACCGACAACGATGTCGATCATCGATGCCGTCGCCGCTGCCGACGTCAGCATTGAAGTTGTAGATGCCAGCAGCGAACACAACAACGGCAGGAAGGAGGCTGGGAAGGAAGGAGGGAAGCAGGAAGGATGAAGACAGGGAGGGGGGAAGGAGGGAGGGCGGGAGGGAGAGGGGAAGGATGGAGGGAGGGAGGGAGGGAGGGAGAGGAGAGGGATGGAGGAAGGGGAGGGAGGGGAGTGAGGAATGAAGGAGGAATGAAGGAGGGGGGGGGAGAAAGAGGAGGAGGAGGAGGAGGAGGAGGAGGAGGAGGAGGAGGAGGCGCAGGAGAAGGAAGAGGAGGAGGAATTGGAGGATGGTGATGAGGGTGAGGATGAGGATGATGACGACGATGATGATGATGGTGGTGATGGTGATGGTGATGGTGATGGTGATGGTGATGGTGATGATGATGATGATGATGATGATGATGATGATGATGATGATGATGATGATGATGATGATGATGATGATGATGATGATGATGATGATGATGATGATGATGATGATGATGTGCTGCTGCTGCTGATGATGATGATGGTGGTGATGGTGATGGTGATGGTGATGGTGATGATGATGACTATGCTGCTGATGATGATGATGATGGTGATGATGATGATGGTGGTGATGATGATGATGGTGATGATGATGAGGAGGAGGAGGAGGAGGAGGAGGAGGACGCCGAGGAGGAGCAGGAGGAAAAGGAGAGCGCGGGAGGAGGTACGGGTCACCTGAGACCCTCTCCGGCGGCCGTCCGACGACGGCGGCGACGACGACATGTTCCTCCCCGTGCAACTGCTACCCTCCGCCTTGCTCGTCCTCCCTGCTATCGGAAACCTTCCTGACGACCCTTTACGAAACGAACCCCACGAAATCTGACTCAAGGATCCACTGCTACAGGAACTCTCAACAAGAATCCTTAGCAAAGAATCCTTCATGAGGGAATCCTTAGTACGGAAACCCCACCAGCCCTCAGGGCGCGAGTGGTTTAGAGCGTTTTCTCTTCCAACACCCTTTCTTCTCCTTCGGGGTGGGGTGTACTCCTCCCCCTCTCCCCTTCCTTTGGGTCTGGAGGGGGGTGGGGGGGTCGCGGGCCGTAGGAGCATTCAAGATGGCCCATGATGGCTATAAGAGGGTCTCATGGAACCCAGGATGGCTTCCAAGAAAGTTCAAGATAGCGCAAGATCGCTCAAGATAACTTCCAACCTGATTCAAGAGGCCTAAGACTGCCCCCGAGTGGCCACAGAACGCTTGCAAAAGAGCCACGACGAGGCCAACATCTGTCCAACACCTTAGGGACATCACTGTGTTTCGCCTTCTCGCCTGTTTGCTTCCGATGGCCCTCCGAGGCCTCAAGATGGCTCCAAGAAGACCCAAGACAGCCCCAAGAGCCGCCCAAGAGGGTCCCAAGACGGCCCCAAGAGCGCCCAAGAGCGCTCCAAGGGGGGGTCCATGAGGCGAGCTTAGGAGCTGCAGGTGGGGGACCTCCCCGTCCTTGACCGAACTGCTCCAAGATGGCCCCAACACGGTCCGCTTTGGCTGAAGATGGGCTACAACATGTCTGCGGGGGAGGTTCCACGAAAGCGTCGAGTGGCCTCTGGGCGTCCCACGGCCGCTGCCCAGAGCCAGACTCCACTGAAGACCACAAAGAATTCAATACTCGCCTTTTCGATCTCGTTGGGTGTGGATTCTCTGCCAAGACTTCGCTGACTGTCGTTTTGTTGTGTACCTTGGGCCGCTCCGTGTACCTTCGATATTTCGACATTTCGTTGCCAGGATCTAGATGTTCGAGATTTTCGATGTTTCGTTTCGAGATTTGGAGATTTTCGATATTTCGATATTTCGAGATTTCGAGATTTTCGATATTTTCGATATTTCGTTGCCATAGTTCGTTTCGAGATTTTCGATGTTTCGCCTCAAGATGGCTCCAAGACAGTCAACCAATGCCCCAAGACAGGCACAGGGTGGCCGCACGACTCCCCCAGGAGCGCTCCGAAGGTGCTCCGAGATGGCCCCACGAGGCGACTGGACCGTACACGATGGCCCAGGGTGGCTCGAAGAGAGCCTCGGAGCGCCCAGTCACACCAGCCTTTTAGGGCGCGAGTGGTCTAGAGCGTTTCCTCGTCCACCCCCCCCTTCTTCCCCTTCGAGGAGGAATCGGCCCGTCCCCCGAAACCCCTCTCCCCTGGACCTGGGCGGGAAGCCCCGGGGCGCACGGTGCCAGAGCGTCCCGGAAGGCCTCGGCGAACAGCCAACAACTTCGTGATGCTCCTTAGGCGTTGGGTCAAAGCTGGCCTCCTGGGGGGGCCCTAATGTAGTACACCCCCTCACCCCACCCTTCATTTGATCGATCTCCCCAATTTGGTTCCAGGATAGCCCCTAAGGCTCCCAAGAGTGCACCAAGAGACACCCAGAAGGCCACAAGAGACCCCCAAGAGGTCCCCCAAGAGACTCTCAAGAGATCCCCAAGAGGCCCCAAGAGGCTCCCCCGAGGTACCTAAGACGGTCCAAGAGGCCCCCTAGATGCTCCAAGAGAACTCCAAGAGCCTCTGACAAGACATCAGAAGCGACTCCGAGAGGTATCCAAGAGGCCTCTGGTCTTCCCGCTCGCCCTGCTTCTCCACATCCCCGATCAAGGCATTCTTTATGAATGGGGTGGTAGATTTCCGCGGGGCATCTAGAACTCATTCGAAAGGAATCCGGGGGAATTCGTGCGAGAAGGAATCGTCACTAAAGGAGTCCTTAATGCGGACGCAAGGGGAATCCTCAACATGGATTCTTCAGGAAAGACATACCTGCCAAGGAATCATGACTCCGGTGTCCCTTAGCAGAAAGAACCCTGAGCAAGGGAGTAGTAGGAGGAGGAGGAGGAGGAGGAGGAGGAGGAAGAGGAAGAGGAGGAGGAGGACGACGAGAAGGATGAGGAGGACGAGAAGGGTGAGGAGGAGGAAGAGGAGGAGAAGGAGGAGGAGGAGGAAGAGGAGGAGGAGGAGGAGGAGGAGGAGGGGAGGAGGAGGGGGAGGGGGAGGAGGAGGACGAGGAGGAGGAGGAGGAGGAGGAGGAGGAGGCGGAGGAGGAGGGGGAGGGGGAGGAAGGGAGGGGAGGAGGAGGAAGGAGGAGGAGGAGGAGGAGGAGGAGGAGGAGGAGGAGGAGGAGGAGGAGAGGAGGAGAAGGGGCAGGGGGAGGAGGGGGAGGGGGAGGGGGAGGAGGTGTAAAACAGGATGGGGGGCAGATCGGAACAGGGCGCGGGCAGGAAAAAGGGGCCCGGGCGTTGCGTGCGGCAGCCCCGTGGCCGGGTCTACCGCTTGGCGCGCGCCGCACGGCGACAGCCGGGAGGCCCTGCGGGCGACCAGGGCAGGGGAGAGGCAGGCAACGGGCGAGGGCGGACGAGGTCAGGGCCCCGCAGACCAGGACACGCTAGACCTGACGAACGAACAACACACACCCATACCCATAGGGGTGTTCGTGGGGAGGACTGGCTATGGGTATGGGTGCGGGTTGTCGGACCCTGGGGAACGCTCCCGTTCGAGCGGGGCCCCCCATCCGACGACAACACGCACCCATAGCCCTCTCCGACCCCCTTATGGGTAATTATGGGTGTGTGTTGTTGGTTCGTCAAGACCCGGACACCCAACATCCCTCGAAACCAAGTTTTCCAAACGGCGCCACGAACAAAATACTGCACCGCAGCATTTCCAGAATCAACCCGGACACAGGCCCCAAAAGCCTGCAGGACACCCCTAAACCCGAACACAAACCCGAATCCTGCAATGCAGCAAACAAAACGTGCACGGGCGCTGAAAAACGTGACTTTGCAGGAAAGGATGTCGTTTCCTTGGTTTTCCGTGTCCTGGTTTATCTGTGTCCTGGTCTCTGGGGGCCTGACGAGGGAGAAGGGAGGTACCACCGGACGCACAACAAAGCAATCCGCACCGTGTCAAGCGCGAGCCTTGCCATAGTAGTCACTGCTAAATAATAACTCTGACTAAGGAACGTGACGATCTACCTCGGGAGAAGGGGAAACACACACTGTGTGAGAGAGACAGAGAGACTCTAGCAAATAACCCTTACAACAGGAAACGCTGCTCCAAAAAAAACGCACTAAAAGGATCCGTACCAAAACAAGCAGTACTACAGGAATCCGTACACACGGCATCATTACTAAAGGAAGCCTTGCTACAAGGGATCATCACCACAGGGAACATTACTAAAGGAATATGTGATGAAGAGTCCTGCCTTTCCACCTCGAGAGAGAGAGAGAGCACAAACAAAACAAAAAAAGAGAGGGCGGAGGATGAGGAGGACCTTTCTTTCGCACGGGGCCTTTGGCCTTTTGGATAATCACGAGGATCAGTTGCTTCACTTGTGGTCCCATTGTTTTCCAATGACAATCACGGGTTTTCGTGGTGTTGCTTCACGAAACCTGTGGGGCGCATTATGAACATTATCCGAGTCGTACCCAACCCCTTCTGCACGTGAGGTAACTCTGCCTGTGAATGATTCATGCACGCGCCTCTCTCTCTCTCTCTCGATCTCTCTCACGCACACACACACACACACACACGCACACACACTACCAGACATGCAACACTCGGAAGGCGATTCAGTGTCGGGGCCACGCGCGTCGCACACCTGCGCACCATAGCACGGGGGACAGCAGTGGAGGAGGCGGAGGGGGAGGACGAAGAGTGAGGAGGACTTGCGGGATAGAGAAGGAGGGGGACGAACTACTGATGAGAGGACGCGCCACGCGCCACATCTGTTCGGTTCGCCGTGCTGCCGCTGCGGGCGACACTCGCCTGAGGAAGGGGGGAAGGGGGGAAACGACAATCGCGCAGTTCGCAGCTCGCTCAAAGAGCCGCGGGATCCCGTCTGGGTGTGCGTACACTTCCACTCCGCTGAAGCTCCCAGGAGCCCAAGAACGTGGCGACGGCTGCGCAGTTCGCATCCCCCCAC